CCCCTTTAATTACTTGTTTTCCTTTGCCAAGTGGTTGTGGGTATTGGAGAGAAGCTATAGGAGAAACAAGACTTCCCATCCGGTTGTGGTGTACTCAATTGGCAAGAGACAGCAGCATGCAGCACTCCATGGCCAGCAACTTGCCCCCCCCTGCCCTGCATCCCCATCAGGGGCTTTTGTAGCCGAGTTCCTTCCAAGAAACTCCTCTCCTTGAAGAGCTTTCCCCAACCCCCTATTATATGGGATTTTTAGCAAGTTTTAAGGACATATTTCCAGTAAGTTCCACAGCAGGGCATCGTGGTGACTTCTCTGCCGTTCATGAGCCTCAGCTGTGCCCTCTCCAATGAAATCTGGGTTTCAGCCCTTGGGTGCTCTCCCTCAGCCCTCGTGGCAGTGATGGGCCTTGGAGCTGGTGCTCCTGTGTTCTTTACAGTGCTCTTTGCTTCTTCCTAACCAGCCTCTCATTACACCAACTCACCACTACCGTGAATAATTGCTTAAATGTTCCCTTAAAATTCCTTTTCCGTTCAAATTACTGTGTGGTTTCTCTCTTCTCATTGGACCCTGGCTGACACACTGTGGTTTTCTTTATACCATTGCTGAAGTTTGTTGATTTTTTTGCATCCTAAAATATTTTTCTAATCCACCAACTTTCTGCTCTTACTTAGGAACTCAAATTAAATATATATTAGACTGCTTGATATTATATCATGAGTCACAGAGATTTTGTGGAGATCCTTTCAGCTTTTTTTGTGTGTCCCTCACATTATTTTGGTGATTTCTATTGCTTTGTCTTAACTTCATTGATCTTCTGCAGTGTCTAATCTGATAGCAATATCATTCACTCTATTTTTTCTGGATATTGTATTTTCCAATTCTCAAAGTCTCGTTTGGTTATTTGTTTACTCATTTGTTTTCTCATCTTTTTCATGCTTTCTTTTACATCCTTGAACATATTTAAGATTTATGAATGTTGTCTTTTTAAGTATTTTTATTGATTTCAAAGATGAAGAGGGAGAGAGAGAGAGAGAGAGAGAAATCAGTGCTGAGAATCATTGATCGGCTGCCTCCTGCACGCCCTCTACTGGGCACGTGCCCTTGACAGGAATTGAACCCGGGACCCTTCAGTCTGCAGGTCAACACCCTATCCAGTGAGCCAAACCAGCCAGGGCATGAATGTTGTCTTAACATCCTAGGCTCCTAATTCCTTTTTCTCTGGTTTGTGTGGGGCTTTCGTTGTTGTTGTTGTTGTTGTTCTTTTATACTGATTGATCCTTCTCCTGCCTATTGGACATATTTTCCTACTTACTTGCGGAGTAATTGTGTTAATCATTTACTGGCCTCTGTGAATTTTACGTCACTGAGTGTTGGGCTTTTCTTTCCTTTAATCAGTATTGGCTTTGTGATGGTGCTTTCACTTGCACATCATGTTGACCTTCTCAAGGACTGCTGTGAAGCTGTATCACAGAGGGCCCAAGCAGATTATTCTAGAGCCAATTTAGCCCTGACACAACGGTGTGGCCTCTGAGAATTCGGCCCAATACCCGCCTCAGATTTCTTCACTCAGGCTGCTGAGAATGCAAACTGTCCCCAGTCCCATGTGAGCTCTGAAATTTGTTTAGCTCACTGCTTTCTCGTGGCTCTTTTCTTGGTTTATGAAGATTTGCTCCCAATGTGTACAGATTGGTATGTCTCTGCCTCGCAGCCTGAGGGCCGCATGTGGCCCACAACAAATTTTTTTTTGCAGCCCAGCCAATATAACAGTATATTAGAAAACATTAATTTTATCATTGCTCTTGTTCTATTTTATACTATACTTTTCTAAATAAACCTACATTTCTATGAAAACTGAAGCTTGTGGGTTTTTTGCAGCCCACATAAACTTCAACCTTGTTTATTTGACTCACGTTAGCCTTTGAGTTTGACATGCTTGCTGTACGCCAAGAGGTGGCGGGGTTGGATCCCCCATCAGGGCATTTGCAGGAGGCCAACCATCGATGTTTCTCTCTCACATCAATGTTTCTCTCCCCACCTTCCTCTCTCTAAATCATTTTTTTAAAAAGAAACTAGTGAAACTTAGCTGGAGAAAAAAAGAAGGGTGAGAGGAGGAAGTAGGGAACTGGAAGTGGATCAAAATAACCTGAACAAATAAATAGCAAAAAATCTTTTTAAAATATTCATAAATTTTTATAAATCCCCTTTTGAAGTTTTAAACAATCTGTCGCATATATTATTTATGCAGTTATCATCCACCGATTTAAAAAATAAATAATTGCAAAAAGCTGTTTTGAATTAGGTAATATTTTTCAATAAGGTTTATTTAGTTACTAATTCAAGAATATGTTTACATACTTGCAAAATAGTAGCATACAGGAGATTAGATAAATGATAGATAGATAGGGACATAGATATAGATGTAGATGTAGATGATATAGACATAGATATAAGACATTATTCACTTGGTTTACAGGCAATATATAAAGTACCTTTGATTCTGCAGATCCCTTATAATAATTTTAGAGGCTCTGTCACCCCTTTCCATCAGTTGTGCCAACAGTAATCTAAAGAGAAGTTTCGTGTGTTTTTCTAATTTTTCAATTACAGTTGACAGTCAACATTATTTTATGTTAGTTTCAAGTGTACAGCATAGTGGTTAGACAATCGTATAATTTACGAAGTGATTCCCCTGATAATTCTAGTACCCGCCCGGTACCATACAGAGTCATTACAATATTATTGGCTGTGTTCCTTATGCTGTAATTTACATCCCGGTGACTATCAATGTTTACCTCTTAGTCCCTTTACCTTTAGAGAGTAGTTCTGGTTTTAGGTGGAAGATGATTAGAGTACACGGGAAAACAATAACTACAGAAACTCATAGCATGAGTTCACTTAAGTCTTCTGTGGACTTAGAAATGGATTAAGAAAACCCCTTTCCCAAATGCTATGTGGCAGAGCAAGGACTCCAAGTAATCCGTTTGATTCCAAAGCTTGCTTTCCTTCCACTAACCACAGCACATTGCTTGTTGAATACTGCATTTTGTGCCCAGTGCTAGAATGGGTAAAACACCGTGTAAGCCAAACTCAACACAAACCCTAAAGTAAATGAGATAAATAATTTGATGTATTACACTGGTAGAGGGTTATTTTTCATTACTCCAAGCAAGATACTTCCAGGGAGTGCGAGGGTGAGCAAACAGACCTGGGACAATGAATGTGGCAGTCTGCCAGTGGGGGTGGGCCCCTGCTGAATGGGCAGTACCTACAGTTGTCTCACTGTGTGTGTCTCATTCATGGATCCTGAGGCCACCTGTAAATATACCTTGCCCTTTTGCCAATTTTAATGAAAAGAAAATGAGGGCAGATCTGGATCAAACATACCAGGGGACTGAAGAAAGGAATCAAATAACCTGATGCTTAAACTCCTAATATTCCTGACCAGGGACACAAACAGCTAAGCAATGAAACCAGAATTGTTATTCATATTTTCAAGTGTTGACCCAAATCCCATTTGGAGCTAAGTTTCTGTACAGTCCTGCATCTGTACTGAAATGTAAGCATCACGTGGGGTGGTTTACCACCTCCTGGCCACTCTCTCTTACCTATGCTTAAGCTCTCATGTATTGTAGGGAGGTGATGCATTCTTAAGATGAATCTTGGTCTTCTGGTCAAAAGTACCATGATTCCAGGTGAATTATGTTTATAGTTTACACTAACAGGAAAGGAGTAAAATCCCTGCAGCCATTAATTCAACAGTATTTATGACTCTCTTACCTTCCTCACCCCAAGGTTAGTGGGGCTCTTTCAAGCCCTTCACCCATGGCCACTGATGCATGCCATAGGTCGTGCATGCCACAGTAATATAATTCACCTTCCCCTATCTTATGTCATTCAATCATCACCACACGTCTTTAAAGTAAACAGTATGATTGCTCCAATTTTACCAATAAAGAAGGAAATTGGTCTGTCCAGACTCAAACTAGTCTAAACAAAATGAAATTTTAAAAAAAGGAAATGAAAAGTTTGATCCCATATAATTGAAGTGTCTACAACTGGATCCAGGTAAGTTTAGGTGCAGTGACTCAAAACATATTATACCGCTCACTCACTCTTCTTTCCGGGAAGCTCCAGCAAAATTTCCAGATTGGCTCAGATGGGGCCACGTGTCCCTCCCAGAATAATCACTGTGGCCATTAGGAGTGAGAGTTTAGATTGCCCAACCTGAGTCATATTACGGAGGAGATACAGTTTGGGCAACCTTGTTAGGTAATAGAGTGGTAAATCCTAAAAGAAAATTGCTGAACGGGCTAAATGTGATGGATTGGAAATCTTTTTCAAATCCTGATTTCTGGGCCTCCGAGATGAGAACCGCTGGTTTAGATTGCCCAACCTGAGTCATATTACGGAGGAGACACAGCTTGGGCAACCTTTTTAGGTAGGAGAGTGGTAAATCCTAAAAGAAAATTGCTGAACTGGCTAAATGTGATGGATCTCCAAAATACTAAAGCTCATAAAAACTACATTCCATGAAAAAATCTCCACAGCCACTGAGAGGCGAACACTTGAGTGCATAACACAGAAGTATTTACCAACTAAATAAACCTGAGCCTGTGTTCTCACCCCCGAACCCAGGCCCTTTTCATTGCACTGGTAGCCCCCTATTTTCAAGCTTCCTCAAAATTCTCAACATGAATTCTCAGGGTTCATCATGTGGATTGACATAGAAAATTGAAACATAAAATAGTAATTCTAGAAAAACAAAAGTACATGATACTTCCCTATTATCAAATGCTTTCTCTTACTCTCTCAACATGAATTCTCAGGGTTCATCATGTGGACTGACATAGAAAATTGAAACATAAAACAGTTAATTCGAGAAAAACAAGAGTTCATGATACTTCCCTGTTATCGAATGCTTTCTCTTACTG